ATTTCTATACACACCCTTTCCATTCTGATAAACAATTACAAAAAAACAACATTTGAAAACACATCCAAAAAAGTGATTTTTTAACCCATATAACATAGGGCATCTATTTGGTCAGATGTGATCTAATTCTTAGAGGCATCCTTCTTCTTTTCTAAATTTAATAGATGGTTTTATTATCATTAAATAAACAATGTCACAAAGAACAAATTAATTTTGAGTTTCTTAAGGCCTAGATCTCAAAGTTCACCAAATGGATGGTTTGGATTCATTGTTAGATAAAGACTCATTTTAACTAGATCTAGGATGCAAATTGAATTTTATTTTATTTTTTTTGGGTTTAATTGTTGGGATGAGAAGAGTGAGTTTTGGGTCATACAAATGCCACAAACATGGTTTTCTAAAAGTTGCAGTTTCGTAATATTACAATGACACAGTGACATGAAATGACTCCCCCTATAACATTTATGGTTGAGGTTTATATAAGGTGCCTGCCTTGTACTATACAAGTACGGCATGCCTCTAAATTTTGTTGGAAGATGTAGTTCCGGTGTCGGAAACTTTATGATGGATTGAAAATCCATGTTCAACCTTAATTATGAAATTTAAAATTTCAAAAACCGTGCAGATCGAGAAGATCTATAAACACTCGAAAATCTTGAAAATAGTTGGTCTATATAACTTGTTACAAGATGCAATATTTTTAAGACTCAAAATTATTATTATTTTTATTATACCAGTCAATAAGACATGTATATGGTGCTAAAACTGGCATGATTGTTTTCTCCTCTACTTTGTTCTTGATGTATCTCTTTTGATTTGAGAATTGCAGGCAAAAGAATCAGTGGAAGAGAGAGCAAAGAGCGTCACAACCAGCATGGAGTCATTGAGCAAGGAGTTGATGAGAGAGAAGCATTTCCGCACCACTGCAGAGAACTTAGCTGCAAAGGCATACAAGGAAAATGTTGCCATAAAGCGCGCGATTCAATCTTTAGGATGCAAAATTCAATTTTCAAGCTGTGGTGATCAGGCCCTAGACAAAGGCAATGTCCATCAAGGAACAAGGCAATTTTCTACAAGAGGTTCAAATATAGGGAGAGAGTTAGGAAGAGGTGAGAGACAGGAAGAGAAGACAGATCTCTCTGTTTCAATTTCAGTTGAGTCAGAGAACGATGATACCTCTGCCAATTTGTTAAGAAAAACATGTGATAGTATGTGCCCCTTCCGCTCCGACGGGGTGTGCAAGTGGCCTGATGCCGGATGTGCTCAGTTTGGCAGCCAGTTCTTGGGGCTCAAGGCAAACTTCGATGCATTCGACCAGCTCTCGATATACGACTGCTATTTCGATTCGAAAGAGTAGTGGAGAATCTATTTTTTGGCTTTGGCCTTTAAGTTGGAAGGTCTTCTTGTGTACAAAGCAACCGAAAAAGATCTTTGGTTCTGTGCGGTCAATGGCTTGAGCCCCTCACAAGGTAGCAGAAATTTTTGTCCAGACGGGTTTTGGAAAAAGCAATGAAAATGCATTTGTCGGATGCAAAAATATATGAGAATAATAATACCTCGTATGCCACAGGCTCAAGCTGTGGCCAAGACAACTTGGGTCCATGACTGGGGAATTTGTACATGAATAGGGTTTAGTCTAGTCGTATTATATTGTATACCTTATCATTATTGATATACCATACACTCGTTTCTAACCAATTTTTTTGGTAATCATCGCAATCGTTGATGTGTCATTGTTGCATTCTATCAAATTGCATGCAACATAATTCCCTCCTCTCTCTCTCTCTCTCTCTCTCTCTCTCTCTCATACATGCCCAGATCCACATTCATGGCACTCTGATTTTCTTGGTTCTAAGTGTAAGCCATGATATTTTCATGTTTCTTGGATCTATGAAAATGGCACCACATGGACATTGGGGACACCTGTGTTTCAGCAATCTTATGTAATATTATTTTACAGGCTATATTAGCTTTTTGTTATGTAGAAGCTTGACATACGACATTCACTTTCTATGTTCCATGTAATTCTTTGGAAATGACTGTTGAGATTGTCATTTGTGAGGACTGCCTTATCAAGAATGTTCAACTGAAAACTGAAGATTTCCACGACCTCTAGTGTTAGCTATAAAACTGTTGACAAATAAAAATTCATAATTTGGAGGAACTTTTGAAGGTGTGGTTATCTCTATGTTCAGAACAAACTTTGCCAACTCGAACTTGTAGTGGAGTTCGTGACTAACTGAGACAAGTCAAGGCTCGGGTGACTTCTCAAATGCATAATTCGGTACTTCGAAGCTTATTGAACTATATGAGAATGTCTGCCCTGACTTCAAAGGTTTTCGGACTGCAAAAACATTTTGAAATTGCTGCAACTCGAACCTCAGGCCCACGAATTTGGATCCCCAAAGTAGTGTAGCTCTTTATGATCTTCGAAAAATTGGAATGAATGGTAAATAAAAAAGGTGCATGAAAACCATTTTTTTAGGCTTGAAATTAATTTATTTTTTCTAGTACTTACGATCATGGAGGTCAAGATGCGAGACTCGCAAAGTTTTGTATCCTCAATCCATCTCCAGGATGGATTTTGGGAGCTAAATGCACTGGAATTTGTGCCTCCAGAAATGCAGTTAAACCCTACGCTTGTTTGGATCCTCTGGATGCTCAATCCATCACTAAGACGGAATTTGGGAGCTCAAAGCACTAAAATTTGTGCGTCCAGAAACGCAACTATACCCTACCCTTTTCTGTATAAAAATAGTTACTTCCCCTACCATACAAAACTTATACACTTCCCTCTATCCAACTGTCCATTCTGAATGAACGGTTGAGATGGCCTCAATCACAAAGTCCCGTCTCTACATTATTTTATTTTTAATTTTTAATTTTTAATTTTTACAAAATGTTTGGGCGTCATCTCCTCTCTTAAACTCGCACCTATTAAAAATATAAAAAAATATTGTCAATAAAATAAAATAATCAAAATGTCTCTTAAAGTTTTAAAGGTATTTTAATTATCCTATTTCAACAAAAATATTTGTTTAATATTTTTTTTAGATGCTGCCCATTGAGGTGATGGCATGTACAAAATTTCATATTTATATAATTTGTGGAAAAAAACATATTTTGAGGTGTTGGATCTAGATCAAACAGTCAGTGGCTCACTTGATCTAAATTGGAGGGGAAGTATATATCTTTTGTGGAAAAAGTTTATATAAGGTTGCAACTTTAAAATGTAGAATTATAGTTAACCGCAAAAATCCACCGGAAAAAGTTATTTTAATCTTAAAAAGCCATCTAATTGATCATCTCGACATCGAGATTAATGAATATGGAAAAAAAAATTTAAGTTCCAGAAATAGTACATCTTGCAACACATTATCTAGACCGTCCATTTTCAAGATTTTTATATGTTTATAGATCTACTTGATTTTAACCATTTTAGGAGTTTAAAATTTTATAATTAGATACTAAAATAGATTTTTAGATAATCCTAAAAAACTTTTACACCAAAATTTTATGTTATGATAAACTTTGGAGATGCGGCTTAATTGGTTTGTTTGAGGTTTGTTTGAGGTATAGAAACCACACCCATCTTTTAAACAATAAGATAGTTATATAAACCTTTCCCATACACATTGACATGGGAAAGCATTTGAAATTCAGGTAAAGAAAGAGTAAAAATCAGCATTTGTAAATGGTAGAGAAGAGAGGGAAGGCAAAAATGAGGAAATGGTGTGTAATAAAAGCCTTTGCTTCCAAAATTGATCACGTTCATAAATTCACCATTCTTATTTCCCAAAGGAGGTTTATTAGTTACAAATGAATTTCATTGTCAAAGATACCAATCATTCTTTCCAGGCATGAATATGGATCGCTTGAGCGGCGCAATCACTGCTGCTATGTCAACAAATCTTGAACCATTATTACACCATCCCATCAACAATGGCATGAATTTCCAAGACCTGCATTCTTCATAAAATGTTTTCTATTAAGGGGTTGCTTTGCTCCCTGCTCTAACTCCATTGACACAAACAACATGACCACTGCAAGAAGTAGAGGTGGCTTTGTTTCTGTCTCCTCTCACCATGTTCCTCTCCCTCCAAAACCTTGTAGAAGTGGCCGGCATTCTCTCCTCCAAGTACCCAAACCTTCATGACTCTTTCCGACCACTTGAGCCGAGCAATTAGATAGACTCATCCAATCACTTCCTCCTTTACTCAGCGATTGCACGACCTTCTCAAAGAAGGCCTCGTCGCAGGGGAGGACGAGGGGCCCCTCGTGCTCATGCCCAAACTCCTCAACCGCTTGCTCCAGGAGCTCCCGAAACACTGGGTGGTTCAAATACGTCGCCCTTATAACAAACCTCCTGCATGAAGTGCCCACTCTCACCGCCAAGTGACCGGCCGGGACATCATCAGGAACCTCCCGAGCACGTGTTTGCGAGCCTGCGACCTTGCGCCATAGCCTCGCCATCTGTCTCAGCTTCACAATTCTACACATGCTGCACTTGTTCCTCTCACCCATATTTGCCTGTGGCTGGTTGATAAATAGCCTCACTGCTATAAGCTCTTCATGGCTAGTCTTATATATAGTGTATGTGTATATGGCCCATGAATAGTACATCTATATGTGGTTATATGATTTGTTTTGTGCTTGTATATGTTTATAGGTGAAGAAGTGAATTTGGTGTGCATGCATGTGGGGGTGTCTTGCTTTTGTGGGGTGGTGCATATGCAGTCTCAGGGGTGGGGGCATATGAGGTGCCAGGGCTTGGGATAACAGGGCCAGGGGGTGCACGTGTTGAGCCAAGGGTGAGCTGGATTGTAGGTCCACCTTGGACTTGCTGCCTGCCTCTCAATCTTCTTCTTCATCCTTTTGTTTTTGTTGTTGAGGTTTGTCAATTTTACTATATCATTTTGAGGAGATGATGTGCTCGTGCGGGAGCAAAATGTACATTTGTTCTCCCAAGCAAAGCCATACTTAGTTGGGGATACAATCTATTCAACCTAGCCATCAATCTTTTAATTAAAAAAAAAAAAAAATGCATTCTAGAAGTGCTTAGGGTCGACTACAAACCCACCATATTTTCGACAGGCGAATCTAATGCATAAGGACTCGGTCACTTTCTTGCTTTGAAATTCATAATGCATTGATTCTAAACTAGATCCCAAAATTTCAGATAAAAACAAATCCCTCTATGTGGTGCTTTTGCCAGAGGGAACAAATGTACAGTTTGCTCCTATCTGAGCACAATATACATGCTCTTCATTATATGTGAGCCCCTCAATATGTGGCTAAGGTTGGAAGTTAAAACCAAAAAGTCCGGGGTAGCTCAAAGGGAGGAAAAAAACAAAAAAAATGCAGAATGTTTCTCCATGTATATATATTCTATGATGTTTTCTAGATTAAATTTGGAACAAAAGGTATTTCTACACTTTAAAAAAAACATAAAGGGTGCTTCTTATCTTGCATTGAATCTTTAAGGCCTAGTGGCCCTTAGGAAGGAATTCCAATAAGGGTAAAATCCTTATGTGGTAGAAAACATGTTGGCAGTTATAGGTGGAGAACTACTTTCTCTCTTTAATTCTTGGTTGCTTGGCTGTTTGTGGTGCCCTCACAGACACTGTCACCCCCCTAAAATAAAATTTATGTCCCTTCCAAAGAAAATAACCTCCCTCCTCTCTCTCTCTCTCTCTCTTATGAGGGTGTCCACTCCAAAGAAAATAGGCCCTCCCCCTCTGTGTGTGTGTGGATTGTTTTTAAGGTTTCTTCTCTCTCTCTGTGTGGATTGGATGCAAGGTCTCTCCCTCTATCTGCCTCTCTCACCTAAATGGGAAAATAAGAGAATGTCAAAATAGGAGAAAGGTTAGGGAAACTTTGGGGGAGTGTATGTGAAAGTAAGCTGGCTTCCACTGTGTACATGCACATACATGACTCATAAAAGTCAAAGTAATTTTCCTCCTACTTTTCTTGAAATTCCAAAGCTGAAGTGATGGCCAGAAGGTTGCCCAGCTACATGTCTAACTGGGCACCTTTGAGTAAACATGTATTTTGGTTTTTTTTTTCCCTACCACTCAAGAGACAACAACTTGTTCAAAGATTCTTATTATACTAAAAAAAAAAGTAGATTGAAAGAGGCTGAAATTTTTCGTGTGGAAAAAAGAGAAAAATTATAAACAATTAAACTAGAGAAAAAACTGGTATCATCATTTAGATTTGAGATGGGGAGAGGCATGGGGGAGGGGTCATTGGTATAAGTGTAGGGCAGCCAATCGGGCCAGGCCAGCCATGAGCTTCTAGGCGTTGTCTAGTTTTGGTTCTGGCTCACGCAGCATGAGGGCCTGGGTTGGTTTAAAAAGTTCTAGCCCATGACTAGCTCCAAAAGTTGGAGCCAGTTTCGGGCAAAGCCTTGTCTATCCCGAATCCAACCTATCAGTAGCCTCATAAGCGTATGATCGCTAACCAGATCAGGCAACCCATGAATTTTCATGGCAAGATCAAGCATCCCTATTAGAACTACAGGTCGGGCATAGGCCCGACAGAGTTCAAAAAAACCAGGTTTAGGGTAAAACCCAAGCCTAGGTATCTTAATTCAGGCCAACCCTTGCCGGGCCGAAGCCCGACCCATTGGCAGCCCTAGATCGGCAATTTGATCAACAATCTTGTCTGCAGTGAGCCACCTAATCAAAAGATACATTGAACATCTCTAAACATCAAGCAAAATTATTGCACACACACATAGAAAAGGCGTTGATGTGCCTAAATAATATATATTTATAAGGGCACTAAACAAGAAGAGATGCTCTCCATCCATGTAGTGGAGGACACGCATAGTAGGAGAAAGAAATCATGCATGTCGACCAAGAAAAGGTCCTTTGCTCTTCTGGTACACAAGGATGGTTAGTAATGAGCCACCCCACCACTAAATTCTTTTTCTCTTTGTTCTTCTTTGGACTGACAATGGTCAACTGAACACAATAACATAGTTTAGACCCAACCACCGAGCCTATGGGGCCAAACCCTTTTAAGTTTTCTGTTTGATGTGTAGGGGGGCTTGGAACGCAACCACAAAGGCCCAATAGAGAAAACACTTTGATACTAGGTACATAGTGTTACTGTTGTATCCACTCATAAATGCCCATTTTCGAAAATGATGTTTGTAGGGGTGGCAATGGACAGGGACCCAAGGGGTGACCGGCGGGTCGGGTCCAGGTCCAAATCTTGGACCAGAACACTATTCGGGTCTGGGTCTAGTAATATTTTTTTGGGTCCTATTATATGAAATATATAATTAAATATAGTTAAATGCATAGATATTTTAATTTTTGGGTCGGATATCCGACCCATTGCCACCCTTAGATGTTTGTATATGAACCATTTGAAATTTTTCTCTTGAAACTTTAACTTTCCTTAGCTTATGACATTCATGTACAAGCATGCGTATCAACTGTACAAAAAGAATAGTCTTACATAAGAGTACAAAACTCAGAACGAGATCACTGACAAGGAAGTCTTTGATGCAAAAGGAACATAGGAAATTAAAATCCATGACCAACTCAGAGGTCTTTGATATAAAAGGAGCTCTGAGAAATTAAATCCACCCTTCCTGCCACACAAATAAACAATAAAAGAGAAAATAAAATTGTAAATCAAACCAAGAAGAAGGAAAAACTATCGTTGTTTTTCACATAAATATTCTTCACAGAAAAGGACCCCACCTTCAAATCATGTATGTCTAAGTTCTAATTACACAGCAAAAAAAAGAGTACGCCTAACAGATTGAAACAATCTCTACTAACTAAACCACAAAGATCCCATGCTAATACTAATAAATAATAAGTTGACTACCTTGCCCCATGCCTGAGCTGTTTCTCTGCCATGACATGAACTTATCATGTGCGACATGAGTAAGATGCACATATGGCACAAAATCAAGCATATCAGCATGTACAGGCCTCGCAAATAGAACATGCACCTCCTCCATTTGCGGCTTGTGCATGATCAGATCTCCCTCAACCTTCACCTTCTCGAAAACTTTGACATCGTCTGGCCAAAAGAGAATATAGTGCCCAACAACGGTGATTTATCAAAGGAAACTAAGTTCTTTGTCAGGCCTAGAACCTGGTATACATCCTCCAGGATAGTCTTCCCACCTTCACTCATCGAGTAACTTGCACATCACCCACATTAACAACTGGAGGCATTGAGTTGTCTGTCATCACTACGACATGGGTACCTTCGAACTTTTGCAGCCACATGAACTTTTTGTAGTCCCCTGTCCATCTCTGATGGGATGAGAGTGCGAAAAATCTCCCCCTCACGATGAACTCCCATTGTGGCTATGTCCACGACTGGTGCAAACCTCACTTGTGCATCCTAGTCATCATCGTCACTTTGTGACTCATGTTGTTTTTCATTTATGACAATAATCCTGTTCTCTATCTTCTTCAGCTTCCTGCCCTATTTCATGAAGTGGCCTTGACTTCTTGCAACGACAGCATGTCTTTTTTCACTGCTTATCTTGTGATCTACTACCATTCTCCTTCTCCTTGCGTGAGCCGGACTTGGGGGGCTGATTGTTGTTTTTCCTCCCATGTCACCCATGGGTCGCCATGAGCATCTCCTTACTCTCTTTTAAGAGAGCCCTGCTATTGTCTTGGTAGACTCTTGATTTCCTAGGGCGTTCTTTAACTCAACTAACGTGGGTTGTGTATGCCAACCTTGGACTGCAGTCAAAAACCTATTGAACTCCGGTCTTAGCTCATGGATGATCAATATCTACATCTGGTTTTCTCAAATTCGTGACTCCTCATTATGTTGGGAGATCTCGTAGTACAATTTCTTAACTTTGATAAAATACTAAGAAACCGAAAGTGAATTTTTTATCTATGAACCGAGCTCAACCAGTCTATGTTCTTTCATGAGAATAATGATAAGAACACATGACATGATTCCTTCAGTGTCCTCACGTCCCTTATGTGGTTCATCAACTCTTTTTGGATCAAGGCTTTTAGAACAAACAATTTCTTACTCGCTCAGATCTTCCACTTTTGTAAGGTCTTTCCATTCGCAGCATCGGCTGCCAATAGAACAATGCTATTGTCATTCACCGTCTCCCATAGATCTTGCCCTTGCTAATATGACTTAATGCTGGATCCAACTCCGACAGATCTTGCCCTTGTTAATATGACTTCATGCAGGATTGCCAATCGGCGTAATTATAGTTCCTGAATTCCTTAATCCCAGCCATCAAATCCGGTTGTTTTTCCATCAATGGTCTATTACCAAATTAAGCACCCGACCTAGCTCTAATACAAGTCGCGCAACGCATAAAGATCTCACACACAAGGAAATATAAGCCTAACACTCGTGTTAAATCTTCACTTCAATGCACCACAGTCATCAAAGAACAACATGCACGAAGAAAACACAAGTGAACAAGGATTTAATTAACCACACAAAGGCTTAAATCACATGGCAAAAAGACCACTTAAAATATGAATAGGGTTCAGGTCAAGAAGATAGCACCACCTGTACCTCAGCTATCAGTCTCGGTTCTTTTCAATGCTGACTCCTTTTGAATAACTACTAATGGATAGGGATTCTGAGGTATGTTAGAACAT